TCAATTTTTTTATTTTTTTATTTTTTTTACAGGGAGCCAAAAATAAAAGTCTGTCTGTCTGTCTATTATTATTATTATTATTATTATTATTATTATTATTATTATTATTATTATTATTATTATTATTATTATTATTATTATTATTATTATTATTATTACTATTATTACTATGTAAGGGTGACGACCATGAACACACTTGATTGGATTAGTTACTTGAATCATTGTTTGACTTTTTTTATGATAGATTTCTTCAAGAATTACAGAACCTACGATTTTATTGTCTATATAAGGAAGTAACTGCTGCATCGAACCATCCATTTATTCCACACAAACACCGTAAGTTGATGTGTTTCCTCGAACGCCTTCACTGTACTGACCTTTCGTGTTGACTTACTCCCCAGACACACACACACACACACACACACACACACCAACGGACATCTTATGCAATCCTGCCTTCCTCCTCCCACACCCGCTGACTGGCCACTACCTGATATTTCTACGACCTCGCTCCTACTATTTCTCTCTTTGTACCTCCCCTCCTCCTTACTGCTTTACCTCCTCCCCTCCTTACTGCTTTACCTCCTCCTCCTTACTGCTTTACCTCCAGCTCCTCCCCTGCTGTTATACCTCCTGCTTTCCACCCCCCTCTTCCCTGCTCTTGACCGGCTGCCCGTGGTCATGCTTGTTGCTCTTCACTTGGCGTGAGGGCTACGACAGGTGCATCTCTCCACTGCTCACGCCCATTCCTAGAGTCTTAGCCACACACACACACACACACACACACACACACACACACACACACACACACACACACACACACACACACACACACGGGGCTGCCTATGAATATCACACCTCCGTCTGTCACTCATCATCTCTCAATATGGCCCACTCTCACCACCTGTCCCGGTACACTGAGGACCACACACTACACCTGGTCCATCACTGTGTACCTGTGGACCACACACTACACCTGGTCCATCACTGTGTACCTGTGGACCACACACTACACCTGGTCCATCACTGTGTACCTGAGGACCACACACTACACCTGGTCCATCACTGTGTACCTGAGGACCACACACTACACCTGGTCCATCACTGTGTACCTGAGGACCACACACTACACCTGGTCCATCATTGTGTACCTGAGGACCACACACTACACCTGGTCCATCACTGTGTACCTGAGGACCACACACTACACCTGGTCCATCACTGTGTACCTGAGGACCACACGACAAGTTAATCTGGTCCTTCTCTCACTTGGTCCTATACTAAACATGAGCCCAGAAGTACACGGGGTCCCTCGTGTATAGCCTGCAAGTTCTCGTCAAGAATCTGTACAATACTGGAGTTGGTTACTGAGTGTTAAAACAATGAAGCAGACTGTGCAACGTTCGGAAATATATCGTAACCTCCATAAACCTAACCTAACCTAACCTAAGCTAAGGTAACCTAACCTAATCAAAATTTTCTATTCGACATTCGGTATGTCTTGCAGTTAGTAGTTATTGAAATATACTGGTTGGTAGAACAACAATGTGTATATGTGTCATTGTTATTAGGAATTTAGAAGGAATGGGACCAATTTGGGTTGTCGCCCGTTGGTCGAGAGTCTCGCTGCTGGTGCCCGGCATCTAGTGCTGTCCGTATACTGTTATTGTTATTCCAATCCAATTGTTATTCTATTTGGCGACCTGTGTGGTGTAATAATCAGCATTCTCGCCTCGCAAGCGAGCGGACCTGGGTTCGATTCCCGGCCAGGGTGAAACTATGGGCAAGTTTCTTTACGCCATTTGCCTCTGTCTACCCAGCAGTAATTGGGGACCTGGATGTCAATCGATTTGCGGATCGCATTCCAGGGTAATGGTTAGCCAATGCAGTTGGTGAGTTGTCCCGTCTTCTCGGACTATTCCTTGACACTGGGTCATGCAGCTCGTTAACTCAAGGTTTGATTGATGTGTTGGGGACAGCTTCAACACCTTAAACAAATTCACGCCTCGGTGGCCCTTGGGCCGGTCTTCCTCGTTACACGAAGGGCAACCATTATTGTACGTGTATATATTGTTATTCCCTATACGGCCTCCTTTCTTTCACTGGCTTGGCTCCCGCTGGTACAGGCTGCCACTACAGTACAGGCTGCCACTTCAGTACAGGCTGCTACCATTGTACAAGCTGCCACCACAGTACAGGCCGCCACCACAGAACTGGCCGTCAACCGCTGGTTACACGACCTCCCACACACCTCTCCTCGCCTTCACCTCCCAGGCTTGTCGAGTGTGGAGAGTGACTTCCGGAGACTGTGGGCAGTGTTACCTTTATACCACCTGCATATTTACCCAATTAGGCACGAGGGGGAATCGTGTGTGTGTGAATGTGTGCGTGTTTGCGTGCGTTTTTGCGTGTGCTTCCTGCCTCCAAACACTCTTGATATGCCTGGAAGAACTTACTATCCCCCCAAGGTTGTTCTGACACTTACTCCCGGAGTTGTAAACACGCCATTCCTATCTCACAGTAACTACAACACTGCCACGTTATCCTCTCTTTAGACTCTGCTGGGAAGGACGTGTGTACTGCACCTCCTACTCGGCCTAATATAACGTAACGTAGTGTGTGACTTATGCTAATACAGGTGTTGTGAAGGGTAAATACCTCGCCTAAGATAATGTTGTGAGGAGTTGGGGAGTTTCTGTCTCACTTGTATATAACAGAAGTTGTGGTGGGTGTAACAGTTCATTGATGGTGGTGGTGGTGATGATGATGATGATGATGATGATGATGATGATGATGGTGATGGTGATGATGATGATGATGTTGATGTTGTAATTATGATTTATTATTATTATTATTGTTATTGGCAGTAGTAGAAATAATAAAAATAATAATAATAATGATAATAATAATAATAATAATAATAATAATAATAATAATAATAATAATAACTCACCGTCGTCAATCTTAGCAGAATAAGAAACACAACTCTCACTTGTATTGTAATAACCGGTTGAGTGGAAGGCCAGAATGTGAACCTTTTAATACTTTTTTGGGGGGGTGGGGGAGGAAGAAGATGGTCAGTTGATTCTTTACGTGTGTCAGATGGCGTGTGTCAGATGGCGTGTGTGTCAGGTGGCGTGTGTCATATGGCGTGTGTCAGGTGGCGTGTGTCAGGTATGCGTGTAAAAATAGATTATGTAAAAATAGTGACGCGTGTGTCAGGTGGCGTAAAAATAGGTGGCGTGTGTCAGGTGGTGGTGACGTGACGCTGTTATTGTTATGTTAGGGTCTGAAGGCTGCCACTGGCTCTTACAATAAATGGTTACTCTGGTATTCTTTAGTTATTGATTCTGGTTAGCGTGATGAGACTTGTGTAGGAAGAGATATGTTCAGTATAAGGGGTGAACAGATGTATGTAGAACTGGAGTAAAAAGATGTGTGTATGGGGTGTGGCACCTGTGTTAGTGGTGTTGTTAAGGCTTCATGGGTGTCTAGTTCCAGGATTTCCCAATGCCTGAGGGAAGGAAGGCTAGCTAGCGCTACTGTCTCCATGGTGTGTGTGTGTGTGTGTGTGTGTGTGTGTGTGTGTGTGTGTGTGTGTGTGTGTGTGTGTGTGTGTGTGTGTGTGTGTGTGTGTGTGTGTGTGTGTGGCGTCTCTCACAGGTCAAAGGATAGAAAGTCTGGAATTCTGGTAAAAAAAAAACTTGTTATTTGGAAACCGATGAGAAATTTTTTGATAAAAGGGAGAGAATTATGAGAGAAATGGGGAGGTCAGGCCCTCTCTACCGGTGAGATGGGCGACGGTGATGCGAGTCGTATGAGACGTTTTTTATTCTGCTGGGTGTGTGTGTGTGTGTGTGTGTGTGTGTGTGTGTGTGTGTGTGTGTGTGTGTGTGCCTTGGTTATAGTGTAATAGTGAGTCAGTTCTGCCATGATGCCTAACACTGTACCTTGGGGGAAAATGCTGACACTACACACACACACACCATCACCCCTCCCGCCAGACGACACAAAGTTGGCGCCTTCTTGTTTACCTCCGGTGTTAAAGTCTTTATTTAAAATGAAGTTAGACGAGACAAAATATATTTACATCAACGTTAATGTAATTTGTTTAGTGTGAGGGACGGAAGAGTACTCGAGGCCGCACAGGTCAGGTCTCCAGGTCTGGGCTGGGTACGTGTGAATGTGGGAACTTGTGGTGCATATTACACGTCGCGTTTGTGTGTGGAGCTTGTCACTGAACCCTTCCTGGGTCCTCTCACCACCGTGGGTGATGCCCGCCCATGTACTGACCCAGATATTGATGAACTGTCACCCAGGTAGCAGCCAGAGCGGTCATGTTAGTTCACTGGACACTCTGAAGGCTTCCTACCTTCCTGTTCAACATTCATCATGCCCCTGCGCGTGTTGTGTTATCCTCTACTGACGGCCCCGGTCACCTCCAGTTGGTGTTAGGTTGTGTGTGTGTCTGGCAGTGGAATTCGTCAACTGTTGTTATAGTAAGAACTGCTGGTAATATAGTTTATGGTGGTGGAGTATAGTGAGCGGTGGTGGTGAGTGGTACGAGGATGGTCAGGGGAGGATGGTACAGTGGGTGATGGGTCAGGGAGGATGGTAGAAGATGGTATGGTGGGTCAGGAAGGATGGTACAGTGGGTCAGGAAGGATGGTACAGTGGGTGGTGGGTTAGGGAGGATGGTAGAAGATGGTATGGTGGGTCAGGAAGGATGGTACAGTGGGTGGTGGGTTAGGATGGATGGTAGGCGATGGTGTGGTGGGCCATGGGAGGATGGTAGGCGATAAGAAAGTGGGCGGAGATGACGACCCAAGCCCACCCTTGAGACACACAGTGGGAACGTGGACGAGGTCGGAGGTTGAGCTGAGAGGAAGGAAGGAGGGAGGGGCAGGCAGGGTAGGTAGAGGAGGAAGGCAGGGGTAGGCAGGGCGGCGGCAAGCGGGGGTGGAGAGCTGGCTGGCCTGGGTCGACTCGTCAGTGCTGGTGCGGCCGTGGTGGAGGCCGTTGCGTGTGTTTGTGTCAGTGTCGGAGTGCGGGGCTCGCGCTCTCTTGCCGGTACCTGTCTCTCTACTGCTTCTTGTGCCGCTAACACCGGTCTTGGTCACTCCAGCTCCTCTGTGCGGCCATTCGCCTTGTCAGCCACACATTTCCTGACTGTATTTGATTTAATATTATTCTCATTGAAAACTAGATTGGATATACGTCCCAGTGTTATCATAGAACTTTACTATTATATCCCCGAGACAAAAAAAAAACCTCTTGACTGAGATATGAGGAAAAACTATGTGTGATTGTGGAAAAAAATTGATACCGTATGTGTTAAATATATCTATATCGTGTTATCCCACATGTGAGGAAAACAAAACCGTGAACTGACTTGTATAGTGAACGATAAGGACACAGTGCTAACTTGGGGAATAACGAGTCAGGCGCAAGAGGAGGAGGAGGAGGCACTTGTCTCACTCTGTGCCACATCTCCCATCAACCCCCTTAACCAGTGCCTCTATATACCAGTGTTTAATAATGTGGCCGGGGAAAAAAGTCATAAATTTTGTCTTGGTTACTTTTTTCTCTAGATTTTTTCCGAGTTGTTAAAAAAATTATTCTCTGGCTATGGTTAAGTTAAACTCTGGCTGAAAGAAGATTATGATTACTTTTTGAGGTACTCTAGTAGTGAGATACCATGATAAAGTATTAGTACAAGAGACACCAGTGAGGTACCAATATGAAGCAATGGGGTATCGGAGTATGTAACAGTGTACCAGCCAGGGAGGAGGGACAGTACCAAGGGGTGGGGAGAGAGCGTCTGCCAGGTGCTGGAGCCCTCGAGTACCTTCGGGGATAATCTCTTGTTATTTGTGGTTATTACTGAATGACCAAAAGATGTGTGTGTGTGTGTGTGTGTGTGTGTACTTCTATGTGTGTCTGTGTGTGTACGTCTGTGTACGTCTATGTGTGTGTTTTTGTCTGTGTACGTCTGTGTGTGTCTGTCTGACTGTCTGTACGTCTGTGTGTGTTTTTGTCTGTGTGTGTCTGTCTGTACGTCTATGTGTGTATCTGTCTGTGTTCGTCTATGTGTGTTTTTGTCTGTGTACGTCTATATGTGTGTTTTTGTCTGTGTACGTCTATGTATGCGTCTGTCTGTGGACGTCTATGTGTATATCTATGTGTACGTCTATGTGTATATCTCTGTGTACGCCTATGTGTGTGTACGCTTATGTGTATATCTGTCTGTGTACGTTTATATGTGTGTTTTTGTCTGTGTACGTCTATGTATGCGTGTGTGTTCCGATGATAGATGAATCACTTGGAATGCCTCGAGGTAAGCCATGACAAACCTGCTCACCGATACCTGTGTTAGTTCACTGTTACACACACCGTTGCTTAATGATACAGTGTTTAGAGTTACTTTCGTGATTAATGTATTACCTTGAATTACCCTCTCCTCCCTCACCCCCCCACACCTCCCCACCTCCCCCACGACTCACCTACCCCACCCTCACCCCACACCTCACACCCCACCACCCCGACTCCCCACGACCTCACACCTACACCCCCCCCCCACGCCTCACACCCCCACCCCCACCCCACCCACCACACCTACAACGCCTCACCCCACCTACCCCCACACCACCCACCCCCCACCCCACACCACACCCCCCACCCCACCCCACCCACACCCCACCCACCCCACACACCCCCACACCACCCCACCCCCACCCCCCCACACCACCCACACCCACCCCAACACCACACCCACCACACACCCCTCACCCCCCACACCCTCACCCCACCCCCACCCACCCCACCTCCACCCCCACCCCACCTCCCCCCACCCACCCCCACCCACCACCCACCCCACCCACCCACCCACCCACCCCCCACCCCACCCACCCCACCCCACACCACACCCCACACCACCCACCCCACCCACCCCACACCACACCTCCCCACCCACCCCCCACGCCCCACCCACCCCACCTCCACCCCACACCACACCCACACACCACACCCACCACCCACCCACTCCCACACCCACCCCCCACCACCCACCCCACCCACCCCCACACCCCACCCACCCACCCCCCACCCACCCCACCCCACCCCACACCACACCCCACCTCACCCCACCCACCCCCCCCCCACCCCACACCTCCACCACACCCACCACCACCACACCCACCCCACCCCACACCACACCCCCCCCACCCACCCCACACCCACCCACACTCCCCACGCCTAACACCCACTCACCACACCCCACCCTCACCCCCCACACTCACCCCCACTCACTTCACTCACCTCACGCCCAGAAACATTCACTCTAATCTCAAACCCCACCTCACCCCCCACACTAAAAACTCTTTAATTGAGAAAAAATTACCGAGGAATATAATTGTATTATTGTTATTATTGTTATTATTATCATTAAATATTATTGACGCTCCGCTCAGTAGTTTTGACATTAACTGACATTAGGTAACCAGTCTTCTCTGTTATTCTGATATTTTCAAACAATCAGCTTTCCCTAATAAGTTTTAATTGTACATTTAATTAACATTTTCCGGAGAGCGTGTTGTGTGGTAATGAGAGCTGGGTGCTGAAATGTCATCGTGTGGAAACAAAACCAGAAGAATGCATGAGTGGGGATCCTAGTTTGGTAGAAACCGCTTTTTTGTGGTGCGGAAATGATGTAGTGGCAAGCATAAGGTGGTGAGGTGGTGGTTGGTGGGGGTGTGAGGTTGTGGTAGTGGCGGTGTGATGTTGTGGTGGTGGGGTTGTGGTAGTGGTGAGGGTGTGAGGTTGTGGTGGTGGGAGGGTGAGATAGTGGTGGGGTTGTGGTAGTGGTGAGGGTGTGAGGGTGAGGTTGTGATAGTGGTGAAGTAGTGATGATAGGGAAAGGGTGTGAGTAGCCATTGGTTATTGAGTGGTGATAGTGTTTAAAAATACACTCCCACTCCCGTTATTGCGTCTACTCCTCCTGACAGTCTCAACCTATTCCATTATTATCTTCCCTTATCACCACCACCCACTATAATTACCTCAATCACAATAAAAAGACAGAAAACCGACGTAAGTAGAGGAGAAACGGCAATAAATGATGTATGCATAAATAAGAAAACACTCAAACATACTGGTTTTCCGTAGCAAGGGAGGGAGGGAGGTGTTGATTTTCCGTAGCCAAGGAGGGAGGGAGGTGTTGATTTTCCGTAGCAAGGGAGGGAGGGAGGTGTTGATTTTCCGTAGCCAAGGGAGGGAGGATGTGTTGTTTTTCCGTAGCCAAGGAGGGATGTGTTGTTTTCCGTAGGGAGGGAGGGAGGTGTTGTTTTCCGTAGCCAAGGAGGAGGTCGGGGAGGGGGTAATGCCTGACCTTCCTACCTGCCACGAGTGTTTCAATACAAGTTAGTTGTTATAATTGTTAATAACGTGATAAGCGAGAGCAATTAGGCCAGGTTGTTCCCCCAGAAATCCCATTAATTATTGTATGACGTCAGTAGTTATTGTCTGACGTCAGTAATTTGCATCGTGTTACTATTCGTTACGTTTGAGAGGTGTTGTAGTACTGTGTTTGTCGATGGTCAGTACTTTAATTGTGGAGTGTAGCAAAAAGTAGGTAGATTAAGTGTGGAGTTGAGGAAAGTATTTTAAGTAGAAAGTAAAATAAATCTAAGTTTTACTGTAATCTGATTTTAATACGTGGAGGACCAGCATGATCTAGGGGACAGAGAGCTCCTCCTCCTCCCCCTCCTTCGTCAGTAGTAACAGCCAATTAGAGGAAACGTTAAAGGTCTTGGCCATAGTTTACACACTGTCTTAATTGAGTCATCGGCGAGGTGTGGATGAGTCTCCTATTGGCTAACCTGAGATACAAAACACATTAAGGGATTATTTTATCAATTGTGTTTGTTTTTTTTTATCTTGTTCGTCCTGATGTTTATTATTATTATTATTATTATTATTATTATTATTATTATTATTATTATTATTATTATTATTATTATTATTCTGTAGAGGTGGTGTTGGCTGAGGGGGTCATTATTGAAGGTGTCCAGAGCTCAGACTAAACTTGCTTCCCCGTTGAGAATTACTTTTACCAGCCACTTGATGTTGAAAGACGTATTTACTCCGTTGTGTGTCGGGCAATATTGATCAAGGTGTTGTTTACACTTTAATTATAAGGTATTGCTTACACTTTAATTATAAGGTCTTGTTTACACTAATTAAACCTGACTCAATAGAAACTTTGGGTCACATGAAGAATCTACACCCCAGTTTATTTCACCTGAAGATTAACCATCCTAATACTGTTTGAGGGGATGAACTTAGGTTAGGTTAGGTTAGGTTAGTGTTTGGGGAGTAAGGATAGGTTAGTCCTTAAGATTCACACACACACACACACACACACACACACACACACACACACTATCCCTGATGTGTTCCAAAAAAACAAAAATTCTCTCATTCTCGTTTTTATGCGAGAATTTCTTTAGTTGTTAAGACCTAACACACACATATTAAGTTCCTGTATAGACCACTACAGCTACAGTGAGTCTTAACCTTAGCATGTAGCATTATTGGTCAGTAGATACACGGCCTCTACAGCATCGTTTAATGAGAATGTTTTAAAGTCGAGATAAAAAAACAGACGAGACTCAACTGTCATGGGTAGTAGAAGAAAAAACGCTTATAAGGAATTGATGAGGAGATCATAGTAGGAGACTTGTGGGGCCTCGGGAGTCTCCTAGTCTTACCCCTCGGGAGATATAAACCTGTCCTACCCCGACACACAACGCCACTCTATCCGTCACTATCATACCTCGGGACCTGTGGAGCCTTGACGGGTTCTCACGGTGCTGGTGTGTGATGCTCGGCTCAGTTAACCTCTGACTGTTAACACAAGTCGGTCATGTTATGTTTTATAAGGTGACGTAAACTTAAAGCCATATGAAATCTATGTATTGTAGCGAGGTGTGGTTTTATAGGGTAAGGATGGATGGTTGCGGGGTATATGTGGATGGTTGGGGAGGGTACTTATGTGGATGGTTGGGGAGGGT